CACCTAATCACTTGCCAACTGGAAAATGTCTTACCATGGAAACATTTCATTTGCCAGAGATGAAGCACTCGCAATACAGAAAAGGGGGAACACAATTTATTCGTCAGAAGAGAAGGTTGCTCTTTGGATTTCTGTATTTCTGTTGCACTACTGGTCAGGAGAGCTTGTACTAGAAACTGTGAAAATCAGATTCATTTCACAGTGTGATGGAGGAAGTGATAAAGTGGCGAATTTTCTTCTGGTTGAGAGTTCATTGGGTACTAGTAATAATTTGAAATGGAATATGGAACTCTATTTTATTTTCATGCAATCGAGTTAGGTTATATAAACTTGTTTTTAAAAGTATACTAGGCAGCTTCCTCTGATCAAGATTCTGAAATTGAAGAGTCTAAGAGGCCAAATTCTGAGTACCTCTCATCCCGTCCAAACAGTGACTCACATGTCTGTACTTTCTTCCTGATGCGACAAGAAGAAAGTATTTGAAACTGCAAGGACCGGGTGGGTGGGGGGATAGGAAAACAAGAGTATTACTGATTTTTTCAAGAAATTATAAATCTAGACATATGGAGTTAGCAGACAAAAGCTAGAGAATTTTTTAACCTCTCATTGCTAAACTGTATTGAGCTCTCTAAAATCATAGATGTTTGAGGAACTAAGGAGCTATTTGTTAGAAATTAAATAATTTCAGAGATATACAGAAGCTGATGACTCTGAATCATGCTTTAAGTTTCTATACCTAAGTGCAATACACAAGACATATTTGAATTATCAGCCATCTGTCCAATAAACGTAGCTCCATTTCAAAAGAAAATGATTGCACTGAAAATAAATTATACTCTAAGTAGATGCAGATATCCCAGTACTGCCTAAACAAGAAGATAATCATAAACAACACTATCCTAAAATTTAAATGTCTGGCTACATGGATAAACTCTGGGAAATATTTCAGACCCTACTTTCTCTTCCATCACAGTGCTAAAATCCAACTTGAGATTCGTGATCGACCTGGAGTTAAAATTCAGATGTGCGGTTACTCAGAACATACTGCACAATTCCCAAGAATAATTCAGTCCAGCATACAACATTTTCTCTAACTTCCTCAAACTGAATGACAATTACATATAAAATTATAACTCTTTAGAGACTCTTTTTAAGATTCTTAAAACTATAATCATTTTTAGTATTGAGTATGTATTAGGCACTATTTTAATCCCTTTACCCTAGTAACTCTTCCAAGCCTCACAACAATCCTATAAGGTAGGTGTTGTTTTATTCCCCTGCCCTTCTTTTCCTATACATGAAAAAAGGGAGTAAACTGTTACCAATTTCAAAAGTTCAAGCAGAGCATGCATAACCAATGGACATAAACAACGCTAGGGGGCGGGGGGCGGGATAGGGAGGAGGGTGTCTGGGGGGGGAGAAGAAACATCTGTAACAAAAATAAATTAATTAATTAAAAAAATTTTAATTCATGCAGAAAACATATAAATTGTTCTTTTACTCATTCAACAAATATTTACTGAGAGTCAACTATGTGCCCAATACTGGGGTATAACAGTGCATGAGATAGCTACAGCCCCTGATCTCATGATGTTTATAGACTGTGTTAAAGATGAACAAAATGGACCCAAAAAAATGTTTTACAGGTCTATAAAGAACCAGGCAGGAGCTAAAATTGAGAATAAAGAAGGACCTAGGTGCCCTGGCCGGTTTGGCTCAGCGGTTAGAGCGTCGGCCTGCGGTCCAGAGAGACCCGGGTTCGGTTCCCGCTAAGGGCATGTACCTCGGTTGCAGTTTGTCCCCGGCCCTGGTTGGTCGTGCGGGTGGCAGCCACTCGATGTGTCCCTTCACATCGATGTTTCTCTCTCTCTCTCTCTTCCTCGCTCTCCCTCCCACTCTATCTGAAAAAAAATAGGAAATCCCTTCTTTACATGGGGTTGTTTGGGAAGCCTCTCAGAAGAGATCATATTTAAGTTAAGACATAAAGAATGAAAAAATGTTAAACATAAAAAAATGGGAGAAAGTTTCTGGGTTAAGACCACAAAGTGAACAAATCATCTAAATCATACACTCCTGAAATGCCACCAAACTCAAGTAAAAGGATCATTTAAAGATAAGAAGAAAGGAACAATAGGCAAGAAGACACAAAACAACATAATTGAAAGCTTGAAAGCCAACTGACTTGCCCTGGCCAGTTTGGCTCAGCGGTTGGAGCATGGGCCTGCGGTCCAGAGACACCCGGGTTTGATTCCCGCTAAGGGCATCTACCTCGGTTGCATGTACCTCGGTTGCAGTTTGTCCCCGGCCCTGGTTGGGTCGTGTGGGTGGCAACCACTCGATGTGTCCCTTTCATGTCGATGTTTCTCTCTTTCTCTCTCCCTCCCACTCTATCTGAACAAAATATCAGGAAAAATGTCCTCGGGTGAGGATAAAAAAAAAAAAGCCAACTGACAAATATCAATTGACTTGGCAGACCAGAGAGAGTCAAATCCCAGGCCAACAGCAAGGCAAGGTGACAACGAACAATGTGCATCTCAGAATTCTCAAAAGGCATAGAATTGGCAGCACCAGAGAGGTCTGAACTAGAGGTGTGGAGCAGGAATGAGATCTTAAAAAAAAAAAAAAGGAAGGACTGGCTGAAAGTTGTTTTAAGAAGAAAAATGATCCCTAAATTCTCTCCACTGCTTCACACCCCTAAGAGAACACCTCACCCCAAATCAGTGGATCTGAAGTTTATTGTCTGAAGAGAGTATACACCAAATAAAGGAAACCAACTGCAGTTGTAGACCAGTTACCCTACCCAAAGCAATGGGATTTAGTGGGTATATAAAGTTTGAATACTGAATACAGAGCTGAGCCAACCCCTGCCTGCCCCACCCTACACCTAGCAGACAGGCCCTTACCCTTCACAAAGGAGATTGGAAGCCTCTTTTTTTTCTCCTTCTTTCTGTGAACCTGACCAATCAAAAATGAATGACCTGAAGAAAGATAGTGACATCAGGGGTTTCCCAGTTAATGTCCCCAACAATGTGCTCAGGTCAGCTCCTTGGTCCCAACACTTAACCATAAACGGAATGGCCAGCCATCTAAAGGAAACCTCTAACATGGAAGACAGACCAGAGGAACAGAAAATCAGCTTAGAGAAAAATAATCTATGTAGGAGAAGAAAACCTTTAAAAAACAAACCTGCTATGAATATCAGAAAGATGAGCTACTCTAGCCAAGAATGAAGTTGGAGTCCTCTTCTTTGAAAAACGAAACAAGTGCAGGCGCTACAGCTGCTGCAGGACGTGCCTGCGACAAGAAGCATGAGGAGCAGACCCTCTGGTCAGTAACAAGTGTCCTGGAAAGAAAATTGCCCCTTACTTTCTTTCCTCAGCTTTGTTTTTGTTTTCTCTCTCAGTTGGCCTTTCCATGAACTCGGAGGACTCCCTGGGGAAGGATTTGGGAGGGTAGGGGCTAACGAGGAGGCTTTGTTGATAAACTCAGAGCTTCAGGGGACCCAGTAACATCACATTCCTCTCCCTCAAGAACCCTCCAGCACTAGGGGGAAGGCAGAAACCCTTTTCCAACAGAGTCCTGTGTTTTTGTTCCGAGACTCCCCCTTTTACTCATTAATAAGTAGAAAGCCCACTGGTTCGATTTCAATGTGGTGTTCAGCCAGCGTGATGGGGGCTGGGACAAGCAGCTCAATCATGAGGTGAGTCACAACACGAGTGACATGTTCTCCCGCTTCCCTAGGAGCTGAGTGCCAAGACAACACACAAATGCTTCTCCAGGTGCCTTTCCCCACCTATAATACCCTGCCCTCCTAACCCTCCCAGGTTCATGGGGCATGAACATCAGGAAATACAACCCTTTCGTCCCTTGACCCTTCACAAGGTGAGTCTATTGCTCTGCCTTCCTTTTACTCTTTTAAGCCTCCTCTTCCCCATCTTTGTGCCTGTTTCAAGCTGCTGCCGCCTCTATTTCTGGTGAAGATTATTCAGTGCCCGGCTCAGGCCTCTTAGGTGCTGTTTTTGATATCCGCATTTTGTCTTTAAATTTTATACATAATTGTACTGTCATTCTGTTTTAAGTTCATAGACCAATGAGCTTGTGATATTTTCTATTTCTTTTCTTTTTTTTTTAGTTAATGGTCTTTTTATTGGGAAAAAAATAAAAAGACTAGCATTTACAACTTGGAATGGATGTGAATTATAATTTCTTGAACAGCAATGTTGATGGTTGTGCTGAAGTCCACAGCTTCTGCTGGCTCCAAGTCATGGTTCAGAAGGTTTTAAAAACAGAGAGTCCAAAGATGCTCCCTTGGCAAGAGTTTCTTTTTAAAAATTTGTGTGAATGGTGACAGCCTGACACCCATCTCGCTCTAGTACGATGCAGGCAACACTAAACCAACACACGTGGGCACGCCACCAGGGTGTGTCACCGTCACCACAGGTCGGGCACATGGAAGTACAAGAGGGACCATCCTGCTAGTGGGCTACGTCTAGACAGTTTATCCTTCACCCATTTTTCTACACACATCCTGAGGCAAACCAATTTTAAATGTGTTTGCTTTCAGCAAACCAGCTATGACCATTTATACTAACAAACTGAACTAGAACCCATTTGAATAGGTTTTGAAGTTGTTTTTCCATTTTTCATTTTTAATACAAATGCCTGACTGCTCAATTGTCAAGCTGCATGCATGAAAAACCGGCCAGCCCAAACAGTGTGTTAATCATTAGCAAATGGAACTGCGAGGAGTCCACTAGTGCTTCCTTATCATTCAGGTAGTAAAGGATTTATATCGTAAAACTGATGTGTAGCTTGATCTCTAGGGGACAGGACCACCAACCAATACATGCAGATTGTGTGTGTGGACAGAAGGTACTTTTGAATTCAGTTTTGCTATATAGAAACAGAATGAGTAAATGATTTTTTTTTTTTTCGCAAGAGATAAGTAAAAGGTTCAATTGGATTCTTCTGGGGGGAGGAGGGGAGTTGAAAGTAGGTCTTCATTTTGCAGTCATCACCTGTACGAATTCCTCATAGTTGACTTGTCCATCTCCATCAATATCTGCGTCTCTGATCGTTTCATCTACTTCTTCATCTGTTCGTTTTTCTCCTAAGTTTGTCATGACATGATGTGGTTCTGCCGCACTGATGTAACCATTGCCATCCTTGTCAAAGACTCCGAATGGCTGGCAGATTGCTTCTTCACTGTCCGTATCTTTCATTTGTCTAGCCATCATAGTCAAAAACTCTAGGAAGTCAATGGTGCCATCCACTTCATTGATCATATCCTGCAATTCGGCTTCTGTTGGGTTCCGACCCAGTGACTGCAAGACAGTGCCGAGTTCCTTTGTTGTGATGGTGCCATCCCCATCTTTGTCCAATAGGGAGAAAGCTTCCTTGAATTCAGCAACCTGTTCTTCAGTCAGTTGATCAGCCCTGGTGCGAACCAAGGGAGGAAGAGCAGAGGGTGGAGGGCGGCTGCACCAGCGCAGGGGCTGAGGTTGGGGGTGCGGCCGCTGCTGCCAAGGTGCGGTGTGCACTGAGCCCATCCTGCAGCCCCACTGCGAGTAACCGCGCCCCGACACTCCCAGCACAAGTGTCCGTGATAGTTTCTATTAAATCCAGTATTGTCCCCCAAAAATGCAGAGACTAAAACAAAGGAGTCCTTGCAAATAAAAAATAAGATCCTAAAAATAAATCGATTATAAAAGGGCTAAAATGTAGTTGAGGAAATTCCCCCCAGAGTACAGCAAAAAACAGAGACAAAATAAGACAGAAGTGATCCATCTAGGAGGTCCATCAGAATAAAAGGAGTTCCAGAAAAAGGCAATAGTAGAACCAAAGGGGTTAAAATCATTCACAAAACTGTTAAGAACATTTTAGAGTACCGCAGATTAAAAAAGCCTACCACAAGGAATCATAATTGACACATAACAAGGCATGTCATTGTGAAATGTCAGAAATTGATGACAAACAAAAGATTCTAAAAATCTAAAGATTTTTAACAATTTACATCACTTAGGAAAGACCAGAAATTGGAGTGGCTTCGGACTTCTCAAAAGCAACACTGGAAGCAAGACAATAATGAAGCAATGCCTTTAAAACCCTGGGAAAAAATTGTTCTCAAAGTAGAAATCTATATTCAGGCAGGCTATAAATAAAAAATAAAGCCCTGGCCAGTTTGGCTCAGCGGTTGGAGCGTCGGCCTGCGGTCCGAAGAGACCAGGGTTCGTTTCCCGCTAAGGGCACGTACTTCAGTTGCAGTTTGTCCCCGGCCCTGGTTGGTCGTGCGGGTGGCAGCCACTCGATGTGTCCCTTTCACGTCGATGTTTCTCTCTCTCTCTCTTCCTCTCTCTCCCTCCCACTCTATCTGTACAAAAAAATGGAAAAATATCCTCGGGTGAGGATAAAAAATAAATAAATAAATAAATAAATAAATAAATAAATAAATAAAGACACACCCCTAGCTGGTTGGGCTCAAAGGTTAGGGCATCGACTGAAGGGTCACGGGTTTGATTCTCAGTCAAGGGTACTACCTGGGTTTCAGGTTCCATCCTGGCCCCGGCTGGGGTCATTGGAAGGAAACCAATGGATGTCTCTCTCACATGAATATTTCTCTTTCCCTCTCTCTCCTTCCCTCCCAGTCTATCTAAAAATCAATGAAAAAAATGTCCTCGAGTGAGGATTAACCAAAAAAAAGGACATACTTTGACATTCATGAAAATTCATTTCCCATGCATCCTTTCTCCTAGGAAAGACCAGCTGCGCGTCAGCACAGAAGGCAGTCGGTCGAGACCAGAGCAGTGCGGTACAAGAGACGACTGCTGAAAGCTGTCCTCGCCGAGAGCCCCCGCCCTGTATACTGGGCTTTAACCCAAGGCAGAACGACTGGGTGAGTGTGCCCCATTCTTACTTCTTCTTAAGCCAGTGAAGTTCCTACTCTCTGTCTCCTGAAACAGCTAAGGACCCTCATTCTACTCCCAAAATATTCTTCTTTGGTCTACTTCTAAGAACTAGGGGTAGGTCATACTGAGTGTAAGCAGAAATACAGAGTAGTAGCCCACTCCCCAACCATATTTTTGCTAGAGGTCCAGTACATGGCTCACACTTCTGCATCCACCAAAAGCCCGAACTGGGGTGAACCCTGCTTTCCTTGGATTCACTCCTGACCTTGCTCAATGACATCCCCAGAAGGGCTCTCAAGGCTACTGAATTCAAACTGTGTCCCGGAGACTCTAATTAGCTTATCTTTATGATATGATAGAGGGCATAAATTATGTATACAGTTTCAAAATTAATATTAAATGTACATTCATGTAGCCACCACCCAGATAAAAGACAGAACATTTCCTGTATTTTATCTATATCAATCTCTATTTTCATCCCCCTCACTCATCATAAAGGTAAATACTTTTCTAACTTTTCTGTTAAGCATTCCCTTGTTTTTCTTTATAGTGAATATAAACAATATATTATTTAATTTCAAGAAACAAAGAACAAGCCCAAACTCAGCAGTATAAAGAAAACACAGTATTGCCATTGATGTAAAGATTCCCACACTTACAAATTTTAGTCATCGCCTCTTAGTGGCAATAGAAAAACAGAAAGAACTAAAGTGGCTGCCATGACTTCATCTTGACACAGACACCGAGAGTGGGTGAAGAGTCACAAGTCTGGTTCTAAAGGCAGCAGCCATTTATTCAAGGAATGAATCGTAACTACCAGAGAATAGGGTTTTTTAAAGGGTACAGTTAAATATGCTAAAACAGGAGGGATCTGGGAAGAGAGCAAAAGCAGCAGTATAGTTTTTTAATCAACCCAATTCCCTCAACTAAAAACAGACAGATCAATGAGGATGACAACCCAAAGACTGGTTGACAATATCTACAACAAAACTAGGTGACAAAGTAGCCCTGTGAACCAATTATCGGAGAATAGGACCAACTTCTGACAGTCACACATCCATGCACTATCAGCATCCACGCAGGGAGACACAAAAGGAAGGCCTTTGGGCCTGATGGTCCTCTGGACAGGGGGACCCTCAAATCAACCACAGGTACTCACAGGAAACTATGGTAGCCCAACCTGAAAACGGAAGTCAAAGCGGGGAGGGCGTTCTTCAGGGAATAAGATCTGTATTGAGGGAGCAGATGCTCAACTCTAAACACTAACAAACCAAAGGTACCTTCAAGACAAAGTCCTGTGCTCAGAAGCAACTGCTGGGAATAGAATCCCCACTGAACAGTGTAAGAATATTAGATGCAGAGGAGAAAGAAAGTTCAAATAAAAGTGGGGAAGGGAATCAAAGAAGACAGATCTCAGAAAGTAAAAGAGCATATTTTTATCACTAAAACAAGAAAATACAAGAGGAGCCCAAAAGTTATCCTGACCTAAGCCTCTCTCCTAAAATTACAGGGAAACTTATTTTGCTTTAAAAAATGAGCAACAGAAAAATCCCATACAAATTTATCATGAGGAAGAAAATAAGAAGCAGAGACATGCACTGAAAACTATAACCTCATATTTCAAAACAAGCTCAAAGAAAGTAAGAAAATGATTGAAACTGTGTTATTCAGCACACTGAAATTAGGTGACTAGAAAAGAGAGATTTTTAAAAGGAAGGTGAAAGAACTCTGGAGAGAATTAGAAATTAAAGAAGGAATATTTTAAAAATGAAGACAGCCAGTAGAAATAGGAATAAACAAACACAATGGATAATGCTTAAGAAAAATAAAACATGGAAAGGAGGAATTCTTAAAAATTAAAAAGAAATATAGAGGCTTCTGGTTATGATAAACAAATCTCTACCAATAACTCCTCCTCCTCTCAAAGAAAATAATTACAAAGCTTGGACCTGATGAAGAAGCAACAGCCTGAGAGCACAGGAGAATGGACAGGAGCAGACAGACTGAGCGGGAGTTCCATCTGCCCAGGGGGTGAGGAGACAGGCTGGGTGGCGGTCAGCCTGGGGCTAAGTGCAGTCTAACCAGCAAGCACAGTAGTGAGGGTAGACAGAAAAACCACAATCCTTCTGACCCGGGAACCAGAAAAGGAAAGCTGGGAAAGAGCGAATGTTCCAGCGAGTGGGAGGATCGGGAGGATCCCACAAGGGAAAGGGGACCTGCAGACTCTGAGTACCCATCTCCCTGATGGATCCCCGAACCACATAGATACAAAACAGACTCAAAGCAGCCCAGCTAAAGGCAAAAGATCTGAACAAAGTAAACAACAGAGTTTACAGTTCAAGCCCAGCCAAGAAAATGACCCAGTAAAATAAAGGAAACACTATTCATCAGTGGGAAATAATAGAATCCAAAGTCTACAAAACTTAACATTTATAATGTCCAGGATACAATCCAAAATTATCCAACATACAAAGAACCAAGAAAATGAAACACATTCTCAGAAGAAAAGAAAATCAGTCTAGTTCGATCATGAAGTGAAACAGATGTTGGAACTAACAGAAAGGTATATACAACTAGTATAACTATTCTCAGTGAAATAAAACAAAACATGCTTGCAATGCATGAAATTCTCATCAGAGGAATAAGAAGTCCCAGCAGAAAAATGAAAATGATTTAAAAAGAACAGGATAAAAATTCTAGAACTGAAAAATATAAATTTCTGAGTCACAAAATTCACTGGATGGACTTAGCAAAATGGACATGACAGAGGAAGGAGTACATGGACTTGAAAATAGATCAGCAGAAGGTATTCAAGGTTAAACACATACACACCAAACAAAGGATTTGGGAGGGGGAATGAACAGAGCCTCTGAGACCTGTTACATAACATCAAACAGTAAAATTAAGGATGTGTACATGGAATAACAAAAGGACAGGACAAAAAGAATGGGGCAGAAAAAAATATGAAGAAATAATAGCTAATAATTCCCCAAATTTGATTTTTTTAAAAACAGAAATTTTCACACACAAAGTAAGCAAACACTAAACAGATTAAACATCTAGCAACCTATAGCAATAGAAGCCCATATGATACTCAAAGTGATAAAAGCCAAACAGTGTATCTTGAAAGCATCAAGAGAAATATATATATACATATACATACATATATATGTATGTGTGTGTGTGTGTGTGTATATATATATATGTATGTTACATACAAATTAAGCACGTAGTACAATTTGATGGCTGAGTTCCCCTGAGACCATGAAGGCCAGATAGAATAATATTTTTAAAGTACTGAAAGGTAAAGAAAAACCGTCAAAGCAGAATCCTACATTTAGCAAAAATATCCTTCAAGAATAAAAGCAAAATAAAGGCATTTTCAAACAAAGACATCCAAGAAATTTGGTCACGCACAGACCTGCACTACAAAAAGGGCTAAAGGGCCCAGCCGGTGTGGCTCAGTGGTTGAGTATCAATCCATGCACCAAGAGGTTGCCAGTTCAATTCCGGGTTGGGGCACATGCCCATGTTGTGGGCCTGATCCCCGATTAGGGGCATACAGGAGATAGCCAATCTATGTTCTCTCTCATCGAAGTTTCTATCTCTCTCTCCCTCTCCCTTCCTCTCTCTCTAAAAAAAAATTGTTTTAAAAGGGGGGGAGGCTAAAGGAAGTTTTTGGGCTGAAAAGAAATGATACCAGATGGAAACATAGCTCCTCAGAAAATAACGATGAGAGTCAGAAGTGGCAAATCTCTTTGTAAATACAAAAAAAAACTATATATTATTTTTTTCTTAATTTCTTTTTTTTTCTTTATTGATTTTAAAGAGAGAGGAAGGGAGAGGGAGAGAGAGATAGAAACATCGATGAGAGAGAACATCAACTGGCCACCTCCTGCATGAACCCCACTGGGGATTAGGCCCACAACCTGGGCATGTGCCCTGAATGGGAATCAAACGGGCGACCTCTTGGTGCACGGGTCGATGCTCAACCACTGAGCGACACCGGCAGGGCACCTTAATTGCTTTATCAATCATATATCTATAAATTAAAATCATATCATCTCATGGGTTATATAACGTATTATGTATCATATATAACAATTATAAAAGGAAAAGGCATATGGGCTTATAAGGCTGCAAGATTTCTGTATTTTAAATAAAGTAGTACATAATTATATGTTAACTATAAAAAATTAATGCACATTATAATTGTTAGGGCAACCTTTACTTAAAAATACAAAAGACAATATCTAAGAAGCCAATAGGAAATTTTTAAAGGTTGGCCCTGGCCGGTTTGGCTCAGCGGTTAGAGCGTCCGCCTGCGGTCCGGAGAGACCCGGGTTCGGTCCCCGCTAAGGGCACGTACCTCGGTTGCAGTTTGTCCCCGGCCCTGGTTGGTCGTGCGGGTGGCAGCCACTTGATGTGTCCCTTTCACATCGATGTTTCCCTCTCTCTCTCTTCCTCTCTCTCCCTTCCACTCTGTCTGTACAAAAAATGAAAAAAATGTCCTCGGATGAGGATAAAAAAAAAAAAAAAATTTTTAAAGGTTGAAAGGAAATAAATGGAAAATACAGGGTGGGGCAAAAGTAGGTTTACAGTTGCCAAAATATATAGAGTATTCATACAACTCAACAAAATGAAGACAAACCATCCAATTAAAAAACGGGCAGAGGGCCTGAATAGACGTTTCTAAACAGGACATACTAATGGCCAGGAGACATACAAAAAAATGCTCAACATCTCAAATCATCAGAAAGATGGAAATTAAAACAACTATGAGATATCACTTCACACCTGCCAGAATGGTGGCCATCAACAAATCCTCAAACAACTAGTGCTGGCAAGAATGTGGAGAAAAGGGGACTCTAGTACACTGCTGGTGGGAATGCAGACTGGTGCAGCCACTATAACAATATGGTGTTTCCTCAAAAAATTAAAAATGGAACTGCCATTTGACCCAGTGATCCTACTTCTTGAAACACCAATCAGGAAGACTATATACACCCCTATGTTCACAGTAGCGCTATTTACAATAGCTAAGATCTGGAAACAGCCCAAGTGCCCATCAGTAGATGAGTAAATAAAAGAGCTGTGGTACAGCCCTGGCCAGTTTGGCTCAGCAGTTAGAGCGTCGGCCTGCGGTCCCGAGAGACCCAGGTTCGGTTCCCGCTAAGGGCGCATACCACAGTTGCAGTTTGTCCCCGGCCCTGGTTGGTCGTACAGGTGGCAGACACTCGATGTGTCCCTTTCACGTCGATGTTTCTCTCTCTCTCTCTGTTCCTCTGTCTCCCTCCCACTCTACCTGAACAAAACATGGAAGAATGTCCTCAGGTGAGGATAAAAAAAAAAAAAAAAGCTATAGTACATGTACACAATGGAATACTATGCAGCTGTAAGAAAGAAAGATCTCTTACATTTTGAGATAGCATGGAAGGACCTAGAAAGCATTATGCTGAGCAAAATAAGCCAGTCAGAGAAAGACAAGTACCATATGATCTCACTTATTTATGGAACATCATAAACAAAATAAGCTGTCAACCAAAAGAGATCCAGAATCATGGAAGTAGGAAACAGACTGACAAACCTCAGAGGGATCGGGGGTGGAAGGGGTAGGAAGAGATAAACCAAAGAACTTATATGCATATATGCACAACCAATGGACACAGCCGTTACGTTGAGGAAAGCAGAAGGGGGAGGGAGTGGAGAAGAGGGTGGTCAATGGGAAAAAAGGGGGACATCTGTAATACTTTCAACAATAAAAAAATAAGAAAAGAAGCACTTTCTCAGTTAAAAGAGAAAATAGAGGGTGGGACAAAAGTAGGTTTACAGTTGTTCATACGGAAAATACAATAATTAATAAATAATAACAGAAGATTAACTGTTTCACGTACTTACAACTATAAACCTACTTTTGCCTCACCCTGTATATCCCACTCAAACAGTGAGCAAAAGTAGGTTAGAATAGCATTATTAATATCAGATAAAGAGATTTCAAAACAATACATATTGCCCACTATGGCTGGGTGGCTCAGTTGTTTGCAGCACTGTCCCATACACCAAAATGTTATGGGTTCGATTCCTGGTCACAGCACATACCTAGGCTGCTTGTTTGATCCTGGGTGGGGGTGAGTACAGGAGGCAACTGATCAATGTTTCCCTCTCACATCACTGTCTCTGTCTCTCTCCCTTTCTCTCTCTGCAAAAATAAATAAACATATCCTTGGGTGAGGATTAAAAAAATAACACACATGTATTAACAAAGATAAAGAAGACACCCCATAATGATAATGATAAATGATTCAACTGGAAAACATAACAATTATAAATGAGTATGAACCCAGTAATAGAGCTTCAAAACACATTAAGCAAAAATTGACAGATTTAGCTTTTCCCTAAGTTCACGGGTCAAGATGGCGGGTAGGTAACCGCAGTGTCACTTCCTCCCACAACCACATCAAAGTTACAACCAAACTACAGAACAACCATCATTCAAAACCGCCTAAATGGAAGTCCTACAACTATGAAATTAAAGCAGCAGCCACATTCAGACTGGTAGGAGGGGCGGAGGGGACGGGCTGGTCCCACACCCACGTGTGGCGGATAAAAATCAGGAGGACACCTCAGCTGGGAAGGTCCTCCCCGAGGACTGAGGGGTCCCCGTCCCACACCAGGCCCCCAGCTCAGGGTTCCAGTGCCAGGAAGAGAATCCCCATCACTTCTGGCTGAAAAACCAGCGCTAACGAAGGTTGAGGAGGCTGAGGCAGCTAGAGCCCCAGGCAGCTCCTTAAAGGGCCCGCGCACAAACTTAAGGAATCGCACCCTCCAGGCTCCAGCGTGGGGGAGGCAGCTGGAAAGGTACCAGAGACGTACAGGGAAGAAACGTACTGGGAAGGACGAGTTGTATGGCATTGAGGCGAGGGCTGGAGAGGCCGCTTTCTCCCGGACGGACAGACGTGCTATCAGAGGCCTTTGTTCCTTTGATGAGCCCTTCCCCCACAGGACAGGCAGAAGGCCACCATATCTGGGACCCAGCAACCTGGCTCACACTGTTTGCCCTGCCCTGGTGATTCCCTGAGGCCCCGCCCCACCCAACTTTCAGGCCCACCCAAGCTGTTGACAGTTGCTTTACCAAAGGAATGGCCTGTCGATCCTGCTTCACATTTTCCTAAATTCTTTCAAAAAAGTAGCATCTGGTCTCGGCAAACCCCATACCTCTTGTTAAGTGGCCCCAGGCCTGGCACTAAAAGCAACCAGCCTTTGTTCACAACTTGGCTTTCCCTGGACACCTCCAAGCCCAGCACAAGAAGCAGCCATCTGCAGATCACTTTGGAGCTTATGCCTGGTGGCCCCGAATAGAACACCAGGCATCACTGACCTGACCCCACAGCCAGTACACCCAGTGGACAGCTTCAGACCACATTGAAACACCACCACCAAAGCGACACACTCAAGGAATGGACTCAGTGGGTACCAGAGCCCTGCTGAAGTAAGTCTTGCTCTGGGTATTGGGCCCCTGCACAGCTGATCCTCCAAGGAAGTCAGAGGTCAGTGGTCAGTGGGCACAGCCAGTCCTTGCAGCTGATCAGCCTGAGTAAAACCCTCCCATTGACGTGCCAACAGCAATCAAGACGCAATTACAACAGAAGAGTGTAAAGTCCACACAAGGGGTGTACCTCAAGGGCACAACTGGGGTGATCAGGGAGGCTGTGCCACTGGATCCTGCAGGACACTTACTACACAATAGGCCACCCTAGGAAGCACAGGAAACATAGTAACTCTTCCTATACATAGAAACAAACACAGAAAGGCAGCCAAAATGAGGAGACAAAGAAACAGGTTCCAAATTAAAGAACAGAACAAAATGCCAGGAAAAGAACTAAGCAAATGGAGATAAGCAACCTAACAGATGCTGAGTTCAAAACACTGCTTAAAAGGATGCTCAGTGAACTTAGTGAGAACTTCAATGAACTTAATGAGGGCCTCAAGAGCATAAAAAAGGACCAGTCATAAATGAAGGATGCACAGTCAGAAATGAAGGAAGCACTATATGAAATAAAGAATAATGTACAGAGATTCAATACTAGAGTAGGTAAAGCCAAGAAGCAAACCGTCAATATGGAATATAAGGAAGCAAAAAACACTCAATTAGAACAGCAAAAAGAAAAAAGAATCCAAAAAAATGAGGATAGTGTAAGGAGCCTCTGGGACAACTTCAAGAATACCAACATTTGCATCTTGGGGGTGCCAGAAGGAGAAGAGAGAGAACAAGAAATTGAAAACCCATTTGAAACAATAATGACAGAAAACTTCCCTAACTTGGTGAAGGAAACAGACATACAAGTCCAGGAAGCACAGAGAGTCCCAAACAAAATAAACCTCAAGAGGCCCACACCAAGACACATCATCATCAAAATGCAAAAGGTTCAAGACAAAGAGAGAATCTTAAAAGCAGCAAGACAAAAGCAGTTAGTTACCTATCAGTGTGTTCCCATAAGACTGTCAGCTGATTTCTCAAAAGAAACTTTGCA